TCTGGACATGTACTCTCAGGTACCTCTTGCGTCTACACTTGCAAGGAATAGAAGGGGCGGTGGGGTAATCTAGTGGTTAAAACGTTCGCTCGTCACGCCGAAGACCCGAGTTCGATTCTCCACATAGGTACAATGTGTGAAGCCCATTTCTGGTGTCCCCACAATGATATTGCTGGAGTATTGCTAAAAGCGGCGTAAAACTAAACTCACTCACACACACTCAATTCAAGGAAATGTCTCCGCAGTTTGAGTGGTGTCTCCCGGAATTTCCGTGGTATGAACTAAAAGAAGTCGATAAAACCTGACGTGACTTGACTTTTCTCTGCATATGTGCCAGTAATATTTTATGTTGATTCATTTACCCATGCTCATGACATACAAGTCACCTGCAGCCCCTAGACGCTGGGATTATCCAGCCATTCAAGGCTCATTACAGGAGACATCAGCTCAATCACCTTGTTGATTGCACAGGGCCTCTACCTGGCCTATCTGGTTATAATGCCACCCTGGATATAATGTCATATTTTCTCCTGGACAAACGGTGGCATTATAACCAGGGTATACTGTACTCGAAATCGTACAATAAACCTTAGATTTTAGTCTCCTGAGCATGGAAACGGGTTTTATCGCTTACATTTGTTCGTACGAACTCTGCGGTTAAGCTCAGTTAGGTCTATATTTAGTCATAAGTGGCATAATTTCCAAGTAATGTATTGATATTCCGAAAGCGAATCCACGACAGCACAGGCGAACATAGACTAAGGCTTAGCCTCTGAATATATATAATTTTGATAATAACAAACAAGCCCATTTGAGTGAAAAGGAGCCCTAGGGAGACCAGAGATTCAGAACCTGAGGAAATCTAGACTTGCTTTATTTAGGGCTTTAGCACTGCAGAGAGGGCTTGGCAGTAGGGAAATTAATGTGGTTCAGGGACTGTGAGACAGACTAAGGCGAACACAATGGAAGCTTCGAGAGAGCATCACTGATACCGTACTTATTGTAGAAACAACCTCTGTAATTATTGTCAGTCCCAGGCCTCATGACATACTACCAATGGCTCTACATTAGTTCTGTTATAAGCGCCCTGGCTGTGTTATTCCCAGCTCAGTGTAGCTAATAATTATTATTAGAAGAAACACGGTAGTCTATTTACAACGCTTGGCTTGTTGCACAACACACAACTAAAAATAAATACACCTCACAGCTGACGCCAATGAGATTCAAATATGAATCGAACAGATTACTTTCGTGGAGAGACAGTTTTTAAAGTGTTTATTCCAGATGGTCAATATTTGTTGATCAGAGTACACATCAGTAACAAACGGAAATTCTAAGTGGTGGCTGTGTAACCTAAGGTATGTACACACTGTTTGGTACTTTCACAGTAAACATTCATTCATATATGCCACTGAGTAGTGATTGTGGAAGTTGTGTCGCTTATTGATGCGTTGCTACTTCACCATGTTGCCGGGCCGATGGGGTAGCCTAATGGTTAAAGCGTTCGCTTGTCAAGCTAAAGACCCAACTTCAATTCCTCACATGGGTACAATGTGTGAAGCAGTTCTGGTGTCACCCAAGGTGATATATACTACTCACACTTTGCTAAGGATCACAAAAATTCACAACTTTACTTAAACGTAGATTCATAATTTGAAATTGTATCCATTTAAAACTGGATAAATAATAATATGGTAACCCCTCTTTAGACAAACAGTCACTTTAATCTAAACTTATGCACTTGATACATGAGTAACCATGAAAATGGTTTTCATGGCACCAATCAAACATTTTGCAAATTATGCAACGAGTCATTGACAAGTACACAACACCTGTCAATAACAGGTATGGGATCCACAAGATGCAATGACATACTGAAACCTAGGATCCATGCTTACAATAGGCTTAGGTATTTAAACCAAATTTGACCCCACATCATAGTTTTCTGTTGAATCTATGATTTGATCCTTAGCAAGTGTGAATAGTATAGATGGAATATTGCTGAAAGCGGCGTAAAACAATACTCACTCACGCAACCATGTTTTCATTTGGACGTAATATGAATGACGAGGCACGAAAGCATTAAAAAGTTTATTTCTACATTTTCATCTATTTCGAACTGACTTGCCTTAAATCAATCATAAAGGTTTATTAAACACTTGTACATATGACATGTCAGGATCCATGAATTATCACTGAATACCCGTGTCTCTTTCGTGGTGAAGACAAGTTGAGCCTTACACGTAATTAGCCTATGAATACCACACACCTATAGGGGCGCTTTTCCGTAACACACACACACACACACACACACACACACACACACACACACACACACACACACACACACACACACACACACACACACACACACACACACACACACACACACACACACACACACACACACACACACACACACACACACACACACACTAAATATCTTGTACTTGTTATGCTGTACAGATCGTGACGCATGATAAACTACCTCCCCTATTAAAAAACCCAACAACAATTATAAAAGCCAAAACCAGCCCAAAATATCAATGGACGGTATGAAATGACACTTCAGCCCAGAATAATTATTAACATTATCAACAAATATAATTTTGTGTCTTACGCAGAACATTTTGGGTCAGTGCGCTTGGCATAATCCGCCTCATACACATTCTATGCAAGACGGTTTATACAGAAGGTTTGTTATATAACATAAATTTGTCAAATAATACATGTCTATTTACGTAAAACCATTAAGTGCTTTGACGAAGTTCATTTAGAAGTTAAACAAGCGACATGACAGAAGTGCTGATAAATTAAGAACCATAGCTCTGCGGGATGTTGAAATATTTGGGTATTCCTTAGTTGGAATATAGAGACGTCTTTCTGGCTTGTAACAGGTAATAAAATTATAAATATTTTGGCAACGTCCTGTTTCTCTTGATAGATAATGTATGGAAGTTCTGAATTATAGGATAGGTAAATACATGTAAATAGTTTTGGAAAGGCGAAGGATGTTTGAGTTAGGTTTGATTTTAAGGTAATGATAATATAGTGCTTTGAAAACTAGAGCTTGAAAATGAAAAATTGGAAAGGCAAAGGGTGTTTGAGTCAGGTTTGATTTTAAGGTAGTGATAATATAGTCCTTTAAAAATTGGAGCTTGAAAATAAAAATTATGTCTGCCCCTGTTTTCAGAAATTGAGTACATTTGTGAATGAACTCTGTGGTTAAAGCGTTCGCTCGTCACGCCAAAGACCGGGTTCGATTCCCCACATGGGTACAATGTGTGAAGCCCATTTCTGGTTCCCAGCCCTGATATTGCTGGAATATTGCTAAAAGCGGCGTAAAACTAAATTCACTCACTCATTAGTATTTTAAAGAAGTCTGTTTATAAAGTACACTGGATAATTTCATGGGTCCACTATTGCAGGTTAATCTATGTTAACATGGGAACATTATAAATAGATCTTACGGTATCAGGTAACATGCCGAGGATTGCACTGGACCATGTGCTTTGTTTTTTCAGTCGGTGGATGTTTCGGCATGTACATGTTTTGGCATGTGAAAGGTTGGTCTCACGTTTGAGTAATAAACGTTTGAGTGAGTGAGTGAGTTTAGTTTTACACCGCACTCAGCAATATTCCAGCTATATGGCGGCGGTTTGTAAATAGTCGAGTGTGGATCAGACAATCCAGTGATCAACATCATGCCCACCAATCCACTGACTGAGATACGGTGACGTGTCAACCAAATCAGCGAGCCTGACCACCGCCTGTTACGACAAGCGCAGGTTGCTGAAGACCAACCTAACCTGGATCACCACGGGTCCATTCTCAGAAAGGGCTATGTGAGGCATACAGACAGGTTTAGCACACGCCCACACACACTCATACACATACCTTGCCTTAAATATTATTCAATGCAGCCTTTTTACCTTGTGAATTCTTATACGACAATTAATAAGCGAATACATGCACAACTAAGTTTAGAAGCTTTGGTCACGTGTAATTTAACACACCTCTAGGTAACTACTACTAATGTTTTGGTGTTAAAGGGAAGTGTTTACTATACCACCTAAATATTCAAGAATCTGCAGGAATTAATTTTATTGGTATTTTTATGTTATGTTGATTTTGATTGCTTAGGTCAAAATGAAAGTCTTCCGAACGAAAATCGTGTTTTATCATTATTAAATGTAGCAGTACCTGTTAAAAAACAGAATTTTTAGGTGAGAGAAAATCTGTTTTCTTGGTAAGAAAACCGTTTATATTTACAAATAGATACAATTAAATAGATAGGGAATAGCGTAGGCTAATTTGTTTGTAATCTCTTTTTCCGAAGTCCTATAATCGGTTTAAGAAAGAGAATATAACATGCCGACAATTCAGTAGACACCTTATTAATATGATAAATTACATAATTCATTTTAAAGACTTTACCCTTTCTCTATTGTTTCAAAGAACTGCGAGTGATTTTAAATAGCTGAAAATTCCCATGACTCACCATTTGTAGCCAACCTGTTATAGATCTAATGGCGCATTATTTGTCTCATGTGCATATTAACGTAACCTGTCGGAAACTGTCGGAAATATCCGAACACTAATAGTGTTGACATATTTCTCATGAATAAACAACGCCTTCTTGGAAGTCTAAAAATACGCATACATTACGTAATCAAAATATTTACCTTTTTGATGTGCTACTATCGTACAACTATTCTGTAATGTACCATACACACGGGTTCCTACTGTCCATTTATACATAACAAAACGAGACTACCTCTATATACATTGAATAATAAGTAAGAACTACTTTTAGAATTATCACAAATACCAAATGCACAGTTGGCGGAAATACTAATTATATCAGAAAAAGGGAAAGTGAAATACGTAGCGAAGAAAATATCAGCAGCAGGTGCTTCTTACGCGTTCCAGGAAGTATATTCGACTCGAAGTATTCAGTTATGAATTTAATGTGAAATTGAAGTTCAAACTTACGCTCGTTCAATATAAGGTGGTATAAACTAGGTATATTCCATCCGCATGTGTTGGCATGACGATAATTTGGATATTCCTGTCGATAACGTTAGTTATCAACGAGGAGTGGTCGCTACTTTCGCTTTCATTCAAATGTCGCCAACCAACATCTAACCAGCTGATAGCTATGACTTGATGTTTAAATAGAACATAAGCGTTTCCTGGATTTTCCTGATTTTCAAGAATTCTATTTGTACGTCTGATTCCAGTGGATATGAATCTGTTGACAAAGCTATATTGTGTTATATATATCTGTTACGTCAGATAACTTAAGTGACGATCGATTTCATGTGCATTGTGAATGTATATATACTCTCATGCGTGTGAAACTGTGCTCATTTATACATTTCGAACGTGAGAGTTCGGTTATTCGTTGGATATCTATGCGTGGTAAGCATCAACTACTAGCTGCATGAAAACCTAGACTAAACACACATCTCAATGGGTAAGTACAACGATCTACGTGTGTTAACTTTGTACTCCTCAAGACCTGCTTAAATATACATGTATTAAGCAAGTGTTGTGGTCAATAACAATATAGCTGAAGTTCATCTTCTAGTGTTGATCATGATGTTCAACTGAGGGGTGGATACAGCTTTTTGAAAATGGTGGGGTGCACACTCTTGGGAAAGAGGGGTGCACACTTCATTTTCACCCGTTTTCACAGGTCATTAATAAAACTTTCAGGACAAAAAGGGGGCTGCGCACCCCTGCACCTATGCATCTTATAGGGAGAAATGTTGGTCCATTCCCTGTCTGTGTGTTGTAGTCAATCTGGAAAATGTGATTAAATTAGGGAGTTACAAATACAAAGTGCCTAAATATTTCAGACATGTTATGAATAGAACTGTTCGACTATTTTACAAATTGACTGGGAATTATTAAGTGCTTCGATCTGAGGCCAAATATTAAGAAAAGGAATATAAACTTTCACTTTCACTTTCTTAGTGTTATCATTTTCAGACATAATCAAATAAACCATCAAAACATGTTTATAATTTGGTGTCACAGAAGAGTTAATTGATTGTCAATATGACAGTGAAATATTTAGGAGTGTAGGAAATAGCTTAAGTGAAGTTTTCTGTCATTTTCAACATTGACTGTAATAATTAATCATTCATATATGTAAAACAACAAGAAGCAATTAAGGTGAAAATGGATTGGATTTACTGTTGCTAGAACTACCTCTATTGTGTGTATTTTGGCTATTGTTTGTCCATACTTACCGCACATTGCCACACTGTCATTGGCCAGACATGATCCAGTGATAATTACAGACAATAATTATTTAACACTGTGATAATCATAGCTAGTCTTTCAGGATGGTAGTTCCCTGCTCTTTATATTTGCTTGATATTAACCTTCTAGAGAAAATTGTTTCACAAAACAGTGAGGACACCATAAATTATGTACCTGTAGTAAGTGTGTGTTTTCAATACTGGTCCCTCCTAATCACTGGGACCCGTTAAGGTTCGGGTTAGAATATTGATCTTCTGTAACCGATGCTTGTCGTAAGAGGCGACTAACGGGATCGGGTGGTCAGGCTCGCTGACTTGGTTGCCACATGTCATCGGTTCCCAACTGTGCAGATCAATGCTCATGCTGTTGATCACTGGATTGTCTGGTCCTGACTCGATTATTTACAGACCGCCGCCATATAGCTTGAATATTGCTGAGTGCGGCGTAAAAATAAACTCTACTCACCTAATCACTGGTGCGCAACAAGGTATACGTCTAAGAGTGAGTGAGTGAGTATGGTTTTACACTTCATTTAGCAATACACCAGCAATATCACGGTGGGGGACACAAGAAATGGTTCTCTTTCTTGATAAAAAGTATTTCATATAGTATTTAAGGTACTTTGGCTTTACAAGATTATCCAGCTAATATAACATATAGGCAGAGTGTGTCTAACTGACTCACCTCTATGTGAACACCTGGTGTCAGATGATTCATAAACACATGCTAATGATATTGTTGGTATCAAACATTGAACTCTGCTTAAAGTAAAGATTTCCTATTTTAATGGGAATGCTTTTTGTTGCATTTCATTTAAATGTTTAAATTGATGTACATTGTATTTTAATGATTCCCTTAATTGTTTTGTATTTTTGCTAAAATTTAGTTATTTCTGAGACTGCCTCTATGGCTCTAGTGGATAGAGAGTCTGCACAAAGAGCAGAAGGATGATGGTTGGATTTCTGACCACATCAGGAATGGTTGGCTCTGAAGTAGTATGCTTTGTCTGTATGGAATATCTGTGTTAAACTGTAGCATGGCATCACAGAGAGCTAGACCTGTAAAGTTTGTCAAAGAAAGTACAAACAGTCATACACATATATATGCCTTGTCTGAATAAGAGCTATAACTGTATATAATTTGCATTTCAGATCCGCTTGTGTTCCTTGAGCAGCTGCATTCCTTTTTTTCCACTCCGGAAGGGAGCATCATGGGGCAGGTAGATCCATTTTTCATTCTGCTAAAATACATGAACTTATATAGAAGTTTTTGAAGTTTTAGAGCATTATGCCAGTATCAGGTATATTGCAGTTATACTCTCTGAAGCTATAGTATAACCAAGCTGGTATATTCTCATAAGGTGAGGCTAATGCCACTCACAGTTATGCTTACAGTTATTCTCTCTGAAGCTATAGTATAACCAAGCTGGTATATTCTCATAAGGTGAGGCTAATGCCACTCACAGTTATAATTACAGTTATTCTCTCTGAAGCTATAGTATAACCAAGCTGGTATACTTCTCATAAGGTGACACTACATACCACTCACAGCTATAATTACAGTTATATTATCCCAAGCTATAGTATAATGAAGCTGGTATGCTATATCATGAATTGCTCAATGGTTAGAAACAATTCTAGTCAATCAGTACATGCAACTATACCTGTGGTACTATGTCTATATCTAGCATCACCTTAGGCTTTCCTCTCTCACTGTGAAACATCTTAGTGTAGCATCTTTCCTGTCTTCCTGAGAGGAGTTAGTCTAGGTAAGGTGTTTGCTCTTAAAGCTAAAGACCCAGGTTTGCTTCTCCACATGTCATAGTGTAAAACCATTATCACTCACACCATTATCACCCACACTCTTGTTATCATTCACCATTATCACCCACACTCTTGTTATCATTCACCATTATCACCCACACCCTTGTTATCATTCACCATTATCACCCACACTCTTGTTATCATTCACCATTATCACCCACACTCTTGTTATCATTCACCATTATCACCCACCACACTCACACCCTTGTTATTTCACCGTTATCATTCACCATTATCACACCGTCACACCCTTGTTATCATTCACCGTTATCACCCACACCCTTGTTATCATTCACCGTTATCACCCACACCCTTGTTATCATTATTATCACCCACACCCTTGTTATCATTCACCGTTATCACCTACACCCTTGTTATCATTCACCGTTATCACACACCCTTGTTATCACCCACACCCTTGTTATCATTCACCATTATCACCCACACCCTTGTTATCATTCACCATTATCACCCACACCCTTGTTATCATTCACACCCACACCCTTGTTATCATTCACCGTTATCACCCACGCCCTTGTTATCATTCACCATTATCACCCACACCCTTGTTATCATTCACTGTTATCACCCACACCCTTGTTATCATTCTATGCCATGATGCTCTCTGTATTGTTAAAGCATTTACTTACTGCTTTCCTATTGGCCAGACTATCCAGAAGATGATGTCTGAAACCAAGGACATGGAGGACTTGCTGCGGGAGGGCATAGAGAAGGTCATGAATTCAGAGTTCATGCCCATAGATTATGAGACATTGGTGACGTCCATGAAGGTTTGTCTCAGTCCAGCAGGAATTCCAGAAAAGACTCAGGCTATGATACTCATCTGCCAATTCACAGAGTATGCCTTGACACAGGTATGTTACCATGGTTGCACAAAGAAAGCAAGATATTCTTTTTCTTATGTGGATTATTGTTGTTAATGGGTGGTAAACAAACTCAAAGTTATTCATGATATAATAGCAGAAAATAATTTGTGAATGTATACTTTTCACTTTTATGCTGATACTTTATTATTAATCATCTATATAAGTTTGCAGGATTCTTTCTACATTTAAGTATCTTTGGTGTATCATGAAATAATCAGAAAATCTCAGAAAAGTGCTGATATTTCTTAGTGTATTAGTGGTACTTAATATTTAATTTCTATTTTCAGGGGTGTGACATTTTTCAAGCTTTTCAATATTTCTACAGAAGTAAGTGAGATTGTTTTTTGCATCAAATTAGCTACAGATTTATAAATCCTGTTTATGTATAATATCAGTCAAAATATCCCGAAACTGCCTTTGTGTCAATTTTATCCTCAAATAATGAAAACATTATTCTCCAACTTGCGTTATATGTAAAACATGCGTTATCTTTAAGAAATGAACTGTTAAGCATTGATTAACTTTATTCCTTCCATCCTTGTATTATTGTGATCATTAATATATGAATATCATGTATTTTCCTTGTATGTGGGCCGGAGGCCTTAAATACAATAAACACTTTGACTTGACTGTAAGTTAACCTTGCGACTATAAAAGCAAATTGTACCAAGGCTATGGGAATTTATGCTTTAAATATGAGAGTAAGAATGAGATACTTTCCTATTTATAAACCGATGTGCTTAAATATAGTGATATATTTTTAAGTGATCATCCCTTTGGGAATGTTTTCAAAACATATGTCGAATGTGGTTGGTGCATTTTAATGTTTAAGTGGCACATTAGTGTTTTGTTATGCCTGTTTACTTGAAACAGTGTAATTTAGTCTAATTAACTGGTCACAAAAGGTGATAATGTTTTATTTTAGGTCCTGGGCTTTAATACATGTGTCACTAGTAAGTGTTCACAGTGTACACATGTCAGTAAATGGAGATTATTGGTTGTGTGTGAAGCATCTTTTTTCTTGACGTGAGAACATTTTAGTTTCTTTTCTTTGCCCAGACAGGACTATCATTTAATTTGGGCCAATAAAATACTATTACATTATCCCTGCCTGTGTTTTGTTACAGCCATGATTCTTCTTGACATCACTGCCAGGCTGGATGGAAAGGAACCTGGTCAGGAACTGATCATAAATATGGCCTGTTCCAGTACTGGAAGCTTTCTGTGGAGGACCCTGTTCCTTGACAGTGATATATGGAGGATGAATGAAACGGTAATAAGCCATACTTCACCAGACATAACATCCTTAATAAAAACTATATGCTGAATAATTACAATGTTTTAAAAATCATAAAGATTGTTCAGGGCGCAATTCAAAGCATGTAGAATTTGCACTGGTGCAACCTGAAATTTGCAAAACCTCATATTTATACAAACTTGCACTGGTGCAACCTGAAACTACAAATTGTAATTTCATTTTTATACAAACTTGGTGCAACAAGTTCATTATGTGAGGTTGCACCAGGTGCAAGTAGGTTTCATTTCCTTCTGACTGAGCCCCATTGTTTATGGCATTGGGCAGGTAGGGGTTGAGAGTTGTTATATTCTGTGCCGTTTTGATTTACTTAGGCTCAATGTTATCTGTTATTTGTTGGTTGGAATTTCAGATCATTCTGATTATGGTTGGTTTCACAAGAGTCAACATTTGATATTTGCCTAAGGACAAGGATACAGTTTTGACATGATACAGAATGTGTTATAAGGTCCCCATGAATTTTTATAAGTGCTCATATTTCTTGTTCATGGCTATCAGTGGGCCATATTGTTACTACAACTGCAACTACCTCACAGTAATTACTACCACTACTACCACTACCACTACAACTACCACCACCACCACCACCACTACAATTTCTACTACTACTTCTACGACTGCTAATACTATCACTGTTTTATTACTCAACAGAACACACTACAGATGTTGAGAGACTTGAGAGAGTTGGTGTTTGAGTATATGAAGGAGAATCCAGCATTCTCGTACTTCTTGTGCCTGGACTTGATCCGAGCATACATGATCGCTGGCAGAGGGTTCCCCCAAAAGCAAAAGACAAGGACAAGAGGTGATCTCATACTCCTTCTGGCCAAGTGCAGCTACCAAGCAGTAAGTCAATAATATTGTGTAATTTTGAATGTGTTGTATTTAAATATTTTCTTCCCATATGTATATTTATATTGCTGGCTCTATGATACAACTTTGGTATAGTGGAGAAATCATTTAGTATTTACGGGAGGGATGTTAAGAGATGCAAATCTGAAGTAGAAATAGCTTAATTGAGAATATGTGTGAAAATGTGAAAGAGTTTATGCTTGTATACACATTACATTAATGAAATCATGTAATTTGCTCTATATAAATGTAAAAATGAGTTTTCCCCATTTATTCCTGTTTGTGCGAGAGAAATAAACATAACTGACAGGTCGTCTTGTTGTTTGCCTGTTGTAGGGGCAGTACAGACTCTGCACCAGATACAGTAAAGAGGGTACGTTCTTTTTAAATAGATCAGATTTCCGTTTAATAATATTACATTGTGAATATTACAATAGCATTCATTGCATACAGCTATCTTCACCTCGAACACAGGCTATCAACATGTCTTCAGGGAATCTGTGCATGCCAAATAATTCTAATCAGGATATGAAGCTAACACTAACACAAAGTGAATTTCGGTTGAACATTTTCTTCTGATACCTACAATGATAAATGTTCAGGAACAGACATTACTTCCACCACTGTTGTTGATCAGTGGAGATAACTCATATATTAAAGTTTTGACACAGGTGAAATAAACTGAGGTGGAAATTTGACAGTTGACAATGGTTAAAAACATTCACATTACATAAACATCAAATACTTTGATTACACAATACCATTTAGAAAGTGGTCAAATGTAACATATGTTATATTTGGGATTACAATTTCTTAGTAAAGTACAGATTCTAGTACTTTTGGGGCCCATCCGGGATTCAAACCCACACCCTCAGTCAGGCACCTAATCGCCAGTGCACAAAGTCAGCTGCCTAACCTACTCAGCCATCGCGACTTCCACATTGTAGATTTGAATCCCGGATGGGCCTCAACCCAAGAAGTACTAGAATTTGTACTTAACTAAGAAAGTGTAATCCCAAATGTAACCTATGTTATCAAATATTTTGATTGTAATACAGTTTTAAAGAGATGGACCTACACAGTGAGATGTACTTGTATGACATCTTGAATGAGATTGCTTGTATTATATGTGAAAAAAATACATTAACAATAGACTCCATAAAGAGAACGTATATTTGACTACTAAGAAACCAATTTTAAAGGTCCCTGCCAATATATGTTTACCAAATGCTTACCAAACATCTCTGTCGAAATCCAGAAGGTGATGGGAACATTTAAGTTTTGGAAGAACTAGCTTTAGAACCATTATTATAGCTCTTCCAGATGCAGTGTAGTGAAGGTTACTAAATATCACAAAGTGTGAGGGGGATATAGAATTGTGCTCAGTTTTCAGCCTGTGTGCCACATCTTGTCATGTAATAGCCACCATATAGCTGGAATATTGCTGAGTGCTGTATAAACCTAGCCTCCCTCACTCATGGTCATGTCATGCTGTGTTTTCAGCCTGTGAGCTGTTTGACTGCAGCAGCTACGTTCCCTATGAACTCTGGGCAAGAGCTCTTCACAAGAGTGGACAATACCGTGCAGCACTGGACAAGGTTGAATGTGCTAAGGAATGCATTCAGGTATAGTTACTTATGAAGTTACTCACTTCTGTACAGGTACCCGTGAAGATCCGGATTGAAATGGTCCTCAGTAACCCATGGTTGTCGTAAGAGGTGACTAACGGGATCGCGTGGGCAAGCTCGCTGACTTGGCTGACACATGTCATCGTATCCCAATTGCGTACATTGCTCATGCTGTTGATCACTGGATTGTCTGGTCCAGACTTGATTATTTACAGACCGCTGCCATATAGCTGAAATATTGTTTGGCATAAAACAACCAACCAACCAACCAATCTGTGCAGGTGGAACTGGATGTCATGTTTGAGATGTGATCATTACAATCTGTAGTACAGTGACAATGTGATGTGGTCAGTTTCCAACTAGCGTGACTAGCAGTAATGGTATGTTGCTGGCCTAGTTATATAACAGATATCTTGACATCCATACTAAACTGCTGATATCTTAAATCATCATGTGTAGTTACATTGGTGTTTGACTGTAATAGGTTTGGCACTACCATCACAAGTGTTACTAATGTCAATAATATTTTCTGTACTTTATGTACAAATGTGAAGGTTTTTAAAAAAAAATCAATCCATGTTGACATTTATACAGGACAAGAAAATAAAGCAGCATCTTCAGAAGTATATGGACCAACTGCATCAGGAGATGTCTGCCTCTATGCAGCAGCCGACAGCAGAGCCAGATGCTGATTGGTTGACAGGGACCAACATAAGCACCACCCAGGTAACTGATATTAAACTTTACATAAGTATCTAATGGCATTTATGTCTATTCACAAATGTGCGTACATGTTTATGTATAAATGTTGCCCTGGTTTTATTTGAACAATATTTCATCAATGGAGGTCTTTAAATAACCCAGTGATAGTGAGTGAGTGAGTATAGTTTTACACAGCAATATTCCAGCAATATCATGGCGGGGGACACAAGAAATGGGCTTCACACATTGTACACATGGGAGGAATTGAACCCGGGCCTTCAGCGTGACAAGCGAACGCTTATACCACTAGGCTACCCCACCGCCTATAATGATATCTGAATGAAGTTACCACATGTCTCAGGGGCTGTTTTGGGGATTTCTCCCCATTATGATGTTTGTGTGGTGACTGGTCCCTAAATGGAACTTGACAAACTGATGTGGACATATGAGTTGAAGAATTCTTTCTCACCCAAAAACACATTCGGTAGCTGAATCATTATCCTGGAAATTAGAATGAATAAAAATCTGGCTTAAATAGATTCAAGGCCTATATTAAAAATCAGGGATAATGAGTGTGACAGAAATATATGTCAGGGCATTTTATGGAGAAAATCTGGTATAGCTGATGACCTACGTTACTTCTGAATGTAATGTTGTTTCGTATCCTGCATAAGTGTGCACCCTGCACCCCTGAGATGGATCTGATATCCTCATTGTTGTGACACAACCAGAACTTGTTGTGTTCCAGTTGCAGCAAGCACGAGCTCAGCAGGTGAAGAACGCTCATGTGAAGAAAAAACGGCATTCAAGACGTGAGTTTGTGATCTGGATGTTTTATGAAACTTTATTTATCATCACAGCACAGTGAAGATGCGCTTATACATATATTACAATTAAAGAAAGTTTCGGACCACCAGTATGAATGAATTAGATGGTCCTTATCAGTATTATAGTCATGACTCTACATACGGGCAAACAATGATAAGTTGGACCGGTGCAGAGAACACGTTTACGAGAAGTAGACGGTGCACGGCAATGAGCAAACCCATTTGGTTTGTGAAAGGTAGAGCAGATGTAGGCTAGAGCGTGTGCAGTCCATGAAAGTACATGGAGAAAGAATGTACATCTACGAAACAGGCACTGTTAAAAGCTAGCAATGCCACTGGTTTATCTCTTCACCCATCGCGACTACACTTGATGATCGCTGGACAACCTAGTCGCCAGCCACAATGGCAAGCACCAGTAGGTCACCACCATGCATGCTAATATGGGTCAATTGTCGTCAGTCGAGGCTCAACTTATCCTTGTTTGCCAGTAGATGTATGCGTGGTCCTCGTGAAAAGTATGTGCCGCAGTAGCCCGTGTTTATTGTACGATGCTTCTACAATGGAATTTGTGTGGTCACTGGTCTATTTGCACAAGACAAAGGTCCACTTTCACAATGAATCAACATCAGCACAAAATTACATATGTGTATAGAATTGTTAGAATATGACATCGTTAGACCCAACTATACACAGAGAACTTAATTAACAATGGCGGATCCAGAGGGGGGTTGCAGGGGTGTGCACCACCCCGTTTGTCCTGAAAGTCTATTAAATGACCATTGAAACTCGATGGAAAAACATGTCTTTTTCTGACCTGACCTTTCTGACTCATAAAAAATGACAAAATGATTGGAATCCATGTTGATTTTATGATGATAACACTAAAAAACACAGATTTTCATACAAAACCATGTCTGTACAAGTATAGCCGTGGAATGTTTGATGTTGAATTTATTGGTGAATGGGAACATTCAAAATGTCGTTTTGCGTGTCTCACACGATTCAACCTCAATGTGACTGTATGAGAGCCAGCAATCTCCTCTTCATAATCACTGTCAGACTCCCTATCCTCTAAGGGTCAATCTATGCCATTCCTCGTGTAAAGCAGCTTCCAACTGGGCCAGGTTCTGGAGGATCCCTTTGTTGCACACGACGACCAGTCATGTCCCAGATATGCTCCAAAGGGTTAAGATTGGGGCTCATTCAATTGTGATATATATCAGGGGGTGCTTAACTAAGTTCTTTGTGTATATTATGAGGGCACTATGCTCACTATGTATTTCTTTGATAGTGTGTCATCTTAACCAAAATGAGCTGCTTGTGCTTCAACACATTGTTTGGCGATAAGACAAAATATTATGGATGTCAACTCCTTCGTTATTGTATACACAGTGTTTCAAAGGGCTTTTCCTTGCCCCTTCCTCAGGTCATTGTTTGGCATATTCAGACCTGGAAGATGCTGGTAATAAAATTACCTTTTATGTAGGACTAGAAAATAAGTAATAACCTGCTTGATATAGCTTGAACATTGCAGCTTAGATCAACATTGACCCCTGTTTCACAATTAAGTCTTACCCTTTTTGCTTTGACAGCAACAAGACGAGAACCTGTGGAACCAGTGCAGGTTAGTCACAATGACTGGCTGAAAGGTGGAGCAATGCAGAACGGGAACAGTGTATCTAGACACAACACAAGGAATGGCCTACCACTTCCTATTGCTGGACAAACGGGCATGGACCCCTCACTGCTCAATGTTGAGAGTAACCCTCTCCTTCAGTACACAGCCTGGGACACATCAAGCGGGGATGATGGATCAGATCTTGAGGATGCTTTTGAGCTGCGCGGATTATCCTCATCTCAACATGAAGAGAAGGAGCCAGAGGTGACTAAAGTCGTGGCTGAAAAGTTGGACAAAACATGGTATGAAGAAAGTAAAGAGATGTATGACAATTATGATATGGACACAAAGATTACTTGTGGAATGGAGATGGAAATAGAGACTGAGAGCATTGAGGCAAATCAGTTTAAACAGACAAGGGCCTTTCTATAGACAGATGGAACCTGTTTTTGAGTTGAGACTCCACTGATGGCAACTATGCCTGAGAAGTACAAGCAGTGTAAGATAGAGTTTGAGTCATCTCACAAAGCTGTGTGTAAAGGTCTTGCCAGGAGGGGAAACCTACAGTGATATTGAGATTCATGGAGATCAAAGTGTGGCCAGATCGCTCAACAACGATGAGGTCTGTGTAGAGGTTCTGTCAGAGCCTCCTCCCATCCTGTATCTGGTCATGTGATATATAAGCTGACTGAGGAAGATGACAAGGTGTATGGACGAAGTTGTTGGTGTCCTCAACAGCAACTTTAGGGAAGAGAGCCATACCGTAATGGCCTGTACATGTGATGATGATGAAGGCTTTCTCATGCATCCTCTTTGCAAAAGTGTGCCTAAAGATCCATGCCTTGAATGGTGTTACAAAGAAGAAATATCCTTCCTTGACCAAATACAGGATTGACATGTATAAAATCAATGAGAATGGAAAAACTCCGGTTCAAGAAATATTTTGATGTGAAACCAGGACTTAGAGGGAGATATGTGTTCCTGGTCGCCTATCTGACTTGGTGATCCACCATGTCTACCCTCTAGGAGCAGTGGTAGACATCTTGGAGTGTGGCTGACTTCAAGGGGAGGTCTCAAGATCCTGGAAATGCAATACAAGGTTCCTACCTACTTTCCACAAGACACAGTTGCTCATATTGGTAAAATTCTGGAGAAGAGAGAAACGGTTCCTGCTGATGGCAGAGTTGACTGCACAGGACTTGAAGTTTTCACGATAGATCCTGCACATTCGAAAGATTTAGATGATGCTTTGAGTATCTCTGCGACAGATGATCACTATCTGATTGGAGTCCATATTGCTGATGTTATGCAGTGGTGAAGAAAGGGGACCCAGTTGACACAGAGGCACAGAAAAGAGCAACAAGCTTCTACCCATGTGAGTCAAGGACTCACAACATGCTACCTGAACCATTGAGTGAGGGCTTGTGTAGTCTGCTACCACATGAAGAAAAACTTGCTTTGTCAATTTTCTTTCACATGGAGAAATCAGGAAAACTTGTGAAAGAACCAACAGTCATGAAAACAATGATTAAATCATCCTGCAAGTTGTCATACGAAGATGCCCAGAAAATTATTGAAAATGGGGAAGTGGATGATGTTTCACAAAGTCTTAAAGACAATATCAAACTGCTACATGAAATTGCTCAGACTTTGAGAAAGGACAGATTGAATGATTCCAGGTTTGCAGTTCCATTTGAAGATCCAAGATATATTGAGACTGAAATCATAGAGCAGAATATGGAGGCTCATGCTCTGGTAGAAGAGTTTATGATCAAAGCCAATACATCCGTTGCTCACTGGCTGAGAAAGAAGTTCCCACATTCAATCCCCATCAGATGTCAGTCTCAACCATCAACTGAGGATGTCCAGAAATTTGTCCAAAGTGAAGAGAAGTTCCTGGACCTTGTGGTGAACCTTCAGGGACGAGAAATCTTACCTGGGAGGAGGGTCGCATCCAAGAACTGGGTAGCCAAGGGCAACACTGTGAGAAAAGAGCCTTTGCCAATCCAGAGGAACATCTGGCTTCAGATTCTTGATGGAGTTCACAATGAAACATTAGACAAAACGGTAAGGAATATGTGCAAAGATGAGGTCCATCCTTTTCAAGCCATTGCTCTTCAACACTGGCATTGCATCATGGAATCTGCAGAATACAAATGTTCAATGCTGTCTGAAAAAGAGCTGAGCCACTTCTCTCTGAATACCAAAATGTACACACATTTCACATCCCCTATCCGGAGATATGTGGACCTGGTTGTACACAGGCTGGTACATGCAGCTCTGGATGGTACATCCTGTCCCTACTCACCCTCAGAAATAACTGACTTGTGTGCCCATATCAATGATGCCACTTCCAGACAGAAACACTTCAGCAAGGGCTGCCAAGCTCTGAAGAGAGCTGCAAAGATATCACAGAGGCCAATGGTGTTCAATGCTGTGGTGGAGAAGGTCACAGATAGTGGAGCACAACTCTGTATTCCATCCTTGAAGCATATCTCAAGCAGAAGCAAGGAATTACCCTTCAACTTGATGGACTTCAGTAAGAAGCCAGATGAGAAACAAGATCCTTGGTCTACAAAGACAATCATCACTGGAAAATGGAAGAAAAGGCTGTATGACTGTACTGGATGCCCAAGCCAGCTGACATATTCTAAGATGCTAGAAAAGCAGCAAGGGTCCAAACAGAAACGACCCAAACCAGTTGTGTCTGTTGTTGATCCTAATCAGCATGTGTACTTTGTGGACACACACATGTGGGCAAAGATGTTGAATGCATTGTTCAACCAGGACCTTAAAGCATTGAAGAAAATGGTCAACAGTCAACCCCAAGATGGACAACAATTGCATTCCGGAGCACCAGTGAGAGACATGGTCACCTCAGAGTATGGAGATGGTTCCATCAAGTTTCAACAGTGCAAGTTCACACTGTGCTTTACACCTGGACGTGTCATCAAAGTGCAAATGGTTGCTAATCCAATGAAAGGTTTGCTCACTCCACAAGTGAGATTGTTTCAGGTTTGCAAGAATCTCAGTCTGTGTCTCAGTCACATGGAAGACCCAGTCGGAGTGTTGAGCAAGTATGCTAACAGAATCAACCAAAAGAACATTGAGTCAATTTCTGAGTATCATAGAACATGGCTGCCTCTCCTCGAAATGGAATCTGCAACATCAGCTGTTCGTAGTGAAGAGAATACAATCATCAACAAGGTAAACATTGAATTCAAACGAACCAAGAAAAGCACAAAACCTTCTACAAAGGTACATTCACTTTTCCCTCAAGTTTTGTGCATGAAAGATGCATTGAGTTTGAGGCAAACCTTTGGAGAAATTGAAGGAGGAGGGAGATGAGGATGATGATGAAAGGGACAACTTTGGGCGAAGGAGTTCTCCTCAATTGATTATCTATGCATACGCTGCAAGATTGACCAAAACATACCTGAGCCAAGAGAAACAGAGGACTATTTAGATCTCAAACAAGGTCATTGGAAGTCTCTTGCCCACTGAGAAAAGATGAAAAGCAAACAAAAATCCTCAAAAGAGGAGTAAGTCATCCGAAGGAGAAGATCCCGTGGAGGAAGGCAGTGGCAGTTGAATGTGCTTATGAAGGGAGAAGAAGGTGTGTGAAGGACCTGGACTTCAAACTGATGCCTGTTCACAGCCAGACACCTACACATGGGGTAGGTCATGCACAGGTCATGAAAGTGAGGAGAAGGGAAGGACAAGGAGATGGAATCAGATTTTGTGATCGGTCACATTCAGCATGAACGCCAACAGTGATCCCCGTGTACAGAGGAACTCTTCCCCACCCGTACAGGCACTGTAGAAGTCATCTTCAAGTCAGAAGTTGACAGGTAGGAAGATGTCTTTTTGCTCTGATTTGTAACGGTAATTAGCTTCGTGAAATTTTCCTCAAAAGTGTCATCAGGGTATATGGGCAAGGAGTGATGTTAGCGCACCTCTGAATTTTTCCACAATTGTGAATAAAAACATGTTACCTACTCTGTTTCAGACGTGATTAATGAGGATGGTGCAAAGCTTGAATGGAGACAAGTCAGATTTAGCAAGCTGTATTGCATTGCACAGGATGCCTCCTAAACTTGGTGAGTAAATATTCACAGTTACACTTAAAACAAAACTCCTTAAAATTGATTCAGTGAAGATGTACTATACATTATGATTCTGAAACCAAAGCTATAGAAAACTTTCAGCTGCAGCTGCATGATATGCCAACCCAAGATAGTACACATGTACCTCTTTTTCACCTCAGACAAGGACAGACTGGATTATGGGAAGAAGATGGAGAAGGAGGTTCCAGTCCAGGGTCTGCCTCAACAATATCAACAAGCATGAGGCTGATAGACCTGGCCCTCTGTTCCAGCTTCACACTCATCCAGGGGCCTCCAGTGTGATCTTGTCTTGGTCTTGTCTTACTCTGCATTCTTGTCTCACCTTGATGTCTTGTCTCACCTGCCGTCTTGTCTCACCTGCTGCCTTTGTCTCACTTCCCAGTCTTGTATCTAGGGCTGAAACGGTTACCCGGTACCGAAAGTAATCCAGGCAGGTAGGAGACATTACCGAGTAGTAACATACTACTCGAAAGTACTGGCCCAAGAAGACTTATCTCCCACTCACTCCATCGTAGTTGTTTCCTAGCCCCAACATGGCAGAGCAAATCATGCTA